GCACCAGCAGGCGCGCGCGCGCCGCCTCACCGCCCACCTGGGCAACCGGCAGCAGGGCGTTGACCGCATCGCCGATCCACCAGGCGCGCAGGGCGGCGCCGAGGCCGCAGCGCTGCGCCCGCGGCAAGGCGGCGCGCAGCGCCTGGGCGTTGGCCAGCAGGATCAGCAGGTGGGAGGCGATGACGGCCAGGATGCCCCAGCCGGCGGCGCGCAGCGCCGACAACGCCCCCTCCAGGTCCGCCAGCGCCAGCACGCCGGCAAACAGCGCCACCCCGACCAGCAGCAGCAGCCAGGCGCGCCAGCGGCCCGGCCGCCGGGCGCCGGCCGCGCTAGCGGAGGTAGCCATGGGCGCGGAACCAGCTCAGGGCATCGGCGATCGCCGCGCGCGCCGGGCGGTGACGGTAGCCGAGCGCGCGCTCGGCCTTGGCCGAGGAGAAGAACATCAGCTTCTCGGCCATCTTCACGCCGTCGACCGTGGCGAAGGGCTCGCCGCCGAAGCTGCGCGCCCAGGCCTCGGCCCCGTAGGCCAGCGGCAGCACCAGCCGGTGCGGCAGACGCAGGCGACGCTGGCGCCGCCCGCGCAGCTCATCCACGAGATCAAGAATCTCCCGCAACTTCATGTTTTCGCCACCGAGAATATAGCACTCGCCCGGCTGCCCCTGCTCGAAGGCCAGGCAGTGCCCCTCGGCCACGTCGTCGACGTGCACCAGGTTCAGACCGGTCTCCACATAGGCCGGCATCTTGCCCATGGCGGCCTCCAGAATGACCCGGCCGGTCGGGGTCGGCTTGACGTCGCCGGGACCGACCGGCGCGCTGGGGCTGACGATCACCACCGGCAGACCCTCCTCCTCGGCCAGGCCGCGCACCGCCTGCTCGGCGAGGAACTTGCTGCGCTTGTACTCGCCGGTCATGTCGGCCAGCGTCGCCTGGCAGCGCTCGTCGGCCGGTGCGGCGCTTCCGGTCAGCTTCAGGGTGGCGACGCTGGAGGTGTAGACCATGCGCTCCACCCCGGCCTCGGCGGCCTGGCGCAGCAGCGCCTTGGTGCCGACGACGTTGGTCGCGTAGAGCACCGCCGGGTCGCGGGTCCACAGGCGATAGTCGGCGGCGACATGGAAAAGGCCGCGGCAGCCGGACAGCGCCGGCTTCAGGGTCTCAGGCTCGCGCAGGTCGCCGATCGCCGTCTCGACCTCCAGACCCTGCAGGTTCAGCCGCGGACTGCTGCCGCGCACCAGCACGCGCACCGCATGGCCGCGGGCCAGCAGGCGGCGCACCACCGCCGCCCCCACGAAGCCGCTTGCGCCGGTCACCAGGATCGTCATCGCGCCCTCCTCCGCCGCCGGCGCGCCAGCAGCTCGATCATCGCCGGCAGCACCACGAGGGTGGCGACCAGTGTAATGGCGATCGCCAGGGTCAGCAGCTCGCCCATGGAAGCCATGCCGCGATGGCCGGAGACGGCCAGGCTGCCGAAGGCGGCGATGGTGGTCAGGGCCGAGAAGAGCACGCCCGACGAGGTCGAGCTGCGCAGCACCGCCTCGCCGTCGCCTTCCTCGCGCAGCCGCAGCACGAAGTGGATGGCGCTGGCCACGCCCAGGCCGAACAGCAGCGGCAGGGCGATGATGTTGGCGAAGTTGAAGGACAGCCCCAGCGCCGCCGCCGCCCCGGCCGTCCAGAGCGCGGCCAGCAGCAGGGTCAGGGTGACCAGGGCGATCTCGGCCGGGCGGCGCAGGGTCAGCGCCAGGATCAGCAGCACCGCCACGAAGGCCAGCCCCGTCGCCGTGACGAAGGCCTGCAGGATGGCGTCGGCGGCGCCGGCGATGATGATCGGCGCGCCGGTGGCTTGGGGCGCGACGGCCAGCACGGCGGCGGCGAAGCGGCGCAGGTCGGCGTTGTCGCGCAGCGGCGCGGCCGGGCGCAGCTCCAGGCGGGCGGCCCCGTTCGGCGCCTGCCAGCGCCGCACCAGCTCGGCCGGCAGGTCGGCCCGGGTGATCGGTTCGGTCACCGACAGCGCC